CATGCACGGCCTCTTTATGTATTGCATATTTCGTTCAGATGTGCAGTACGTCTATACATATATCCAGAGGAAGTGCATTCGATGAACTTTTGCAGCCTAAGATCCCACATGAAAGGAAGCTGACTATACCAAAAGGTCAGTGCAGTGCTAACATGAAATGAAGAATGTGTCCATATTCCCCCAAATTGGCTTGCATGACAAAATTGATAACACTCTCTGCAAACCGCAAGTGAAGGGGCTCGCACTTTGCACGAGCATTCTGGAGAGACCATAGAAGAACTTTAAAGAAATGGTTTCTGCATCCATGCTGCTATTAGGAAATATACGCTTAAGTTGCTCAAGGCCTGTATTAGTTTCAGGGTCATGAGTCGGAGAATCGCATGCATATGACTTTCAAGACAGCGATGTATCCCGAATTCCTTTGAGAACTGGACCAATGATCAGTTCTAAACATAACGAAAATTGCATTTACTCTTCTTAAGAACAATTTCTTTTTAATTTGTCAAAACTAATTATTTAGTCTGTAAGGGATTTACTGTGAAGGGCCATATTACCCCAATGACAATATTCCCACAAGTTACCATAATTAAAATCTGAGAATTATTCAGAAACATCTGATTATCACATCAAAATTTCATGAAAAATTAAAATCCCTGGAGATATTACACGGGCAATATGTATCTGGCTGTGGGTTTATATATTTTTGGTTAATAGATATTGGCTATTTTTCAAACCTGCAAATGTTGATGATATGTCCTTCGTCGCAATCCCTCTCCTTCAAGGATTCCACTGTCTTCTTTGCACAGTAGCAATATGCTATTACATTCAAATCAATTAAATTCCTCCACTCTTTCCGGTCTCCATCTGCGTCAAAGGCATGAATTCATGACATATGTAAATTCTTTTTCTTTAATGATGTATATCAAGGAAGAAAAAGGAAACAAATCTGATCCGTACCCATGATCTTCGGCGATCCAATTTGAGCAGCGTTGTTGATGCAGACGTCAATGCCTCCCCATGTTTTCATGATTTGGGAAAACATGGTATCAACTTCCTCATCGTTGGTCAGGTCGCACTTGATGGTGATCATTAAGCCTCCTTCTCCCAATTCTTTGACCATTTGCTAACGAAAAGGAGAATTTTAATAGACACCATAAGCTTGACGTATACATTCTTAGTAGAAATTAGAAGAAAGGGATGTACCTGAATGTGATCAATCATCCTGTCACATGCAGCCACCTTTCAGGCCAGCTTTGGCCAATTTCATGGCAATCGCTGCACCGATCCCTGAATTCGCACCTGTCACAAGTGCGACACGACCCTTCCATCGCTCCATGAGCCTGACAGTTACTGTTAGCGAATTTCACTTTGGTATTACTTGCACCTGTCGGATATTTGATATGCAACACTATTATTCATTCAGAAGTAGGAATTCAATGAATAATGCTAAAAATTGCAGCCAATAATTGTAGGCCTCTCTCATGGAAGAGAAAATAGGTCCACTTGAATACCTTTCCCTCTTTGCCTCTTCCCAAGACGACTTTCATTGAAAAAAGCAAAACATTTTAGGTTAATTATTATTAATCATGAGCCTATTCTTTAGATGAAAATCCGCGACTTCTAATGAATCACTGGAAGCTTTGTTGGAGCACCGAAAAGCATAATACTCCAGGCAACCAACCATGTTAGGCCTTCGTTATTGATTATGGAAGCTTCAGGAACCAATGCAGTGGACTGTCCATGTAGGCCCCCAATGGCGTTTGAGCAAAATTAAACCTGTCTGTAGTAGAAGCGAGGTCGAACAGGATTCCCAGAATTAAAACGAGATGGCAACCAGGAAATCGACATGGTGAGTAACTGAAACTCGTCTCCCATACTTTTAGTGCGGTGCATGCTTATTTCCTAATGACAAGTTATTGAAAGATACTGATATTTTCCTGTACATTCGTCAAAACAAGTAGCAAGCCCAGGGATAGTGTTCGCAATTGTAGAGGAAGGAGGGTCCAACATGCAACGACTTTCATGCCTGTCTTCTTCTTGATAATAACAACGCCAATCCTAGCATTCGCACCTGTTACATGTGCTACTCATCCCTTTCATCACTTCATGCGATGGGGTAATTTTACTCTGGTATGAGATGCATATGCATGCTATACAATGTGAAATACACCATAATACCTATGGAAACAGCATTTCAGTGATCGATAGCAAAACGGGCACAAAGAACTAGACATTCATTGAATATTAAATAGGTCAATCAATAATTTCTTCTGAATGAGTTTCTTTGTTGAGCCAAAATGCAACTTGCAGGTTTGCCGGAACACATCCGACGAGCCTTTGGCTCCGTATTTTGATAACGTTTGAGTTTCTTCGTGACAAATGTCCCCTAAAGGGAAGTATTGGAGGGGGGGGGGGGGGGGGGC